AGTGAGTTTGTTAATTCTTAACTTTGTTAAAAGTTGCATAGTTTAATCCAATTAACATTTTTTGTCATAATAGTATTAACTTTTATTGAGGGACACTTGAGATCACTTAAGTGGCCAAAACAACATTTCACATTCATTCTCTCCATTCTCCATTAGCCTAAAATATATCTTGACATCATTTCACATTGATCACAATCTCAAAGAATAATTTACAAGTTTACTCAATTTTCTATTGTTTGTTACTATTATTGCTTTCCTTCTCTCTTTTATTGCCATTTCCATAATCCAAAACTTCTTTCCCTTCCCACACATAAAATTGACACACCTTGCATGCAATCTTAGAAAAGTGTCCAAATCCACTCATCAGTCCCATGCAACATTGTAATGCCATATTTACTGAATTCTCATCCTATCAGCATTAAACATTGTATGTCATGATGAGAAAGGAGCATGTGTCAAAGAGGAAACAACCAATAACATAGAGAGAAATGTTGAGAGAAACAACAATTTATCGAGATGATCTAAACGAAGGAGTTGTGAAGCATAGAAAGGAGAGGGTCCCATGCGAGTGCATTTGGGTTAAAGAGAATGGGAGAAGTGTAACTACTTTCTTTCCAATGTCTTTGATGTTGCATAACTTCTTTCAATCCTATTAAATTCTAACTATTAGAAGATTATCACTAATGACTTATGCGTTGCTATTTTGGTGCCACAAGCCATGGTGGCTTTCACACGGGTGTTAAAAACTTGCAGAAGCTAGTGTGGAATAAGAGCTTCCAAATTCTAGGGCAATTTATTTTTGATTTGGAATTTTGCATCAAGGATAAGGATGTTTCCCTACAAACAAACCACAGGAATTGTTAACATTCCAATGAAGAGGATTGTCATTGGCAAGTTGATCTTCGTCTGGTTCTCAAAAGTAGGTCCTTAAGGAAGCTGCTGAAGTTGGACACTGTGCATCATATTGATGAACTATCATTCTATTATTTTACTTAGGAAATTTTAGCCTATTTTATTGTTTGAATTAACATTTTATTCTTTGAATTAGATAAGTTTTTTTTAACTCATGGTAGAAAGTGATGACACTACAACTCAAACAAAACTTGCCAAATGATGATGAAGAATTATAGATAATAGTGAAGAATCAGTGAAATTAGTAAAGAATAAATTTAGTGTGATTGCTTACATCAATAGACCCCATGCTCAATCGATGGACTTTCTAGAGAAGATGTGCTTAGCATCAACATGCTTATGCTAAATTTTAGGCGAGCATGACTAGTGTAGGAATTACAACATCTCTATATAAGCACACCCTTATGCTAAAATACTAAAGTCTTTAATCGAAAATGCTTAGGATGCTTATGAGATGCAACTCTTTGTCAAAGGTATGCTTAGTTAGAGTATGCCTTGTGCTTGAACCTATGATGTCACACAATATAAAATTAAGATTTTTAAGAGGTCGGGTCATATTTTGGATTCTATATATATAGATAGCCTTACTCTCCTTGCTAAATACATACTTGATCTATTATTCTCTCTACATGCTAAAATTTTAAACCTTTCATCTTAAGTTATTCTCCTCCTTATCACAGAGTTGTGTTTCCTTTATAAGTAAATCAGTCACAAGGGTTTCCTACATGCTATATAAAGGGCTTTTGATCGATGTCATACTCAGTCAAATAAAAATAATTTAAATGTAGTAAATTAGGAAACAAACCTAAGTTATTCTTTCGAGGATCTTAGTTACTAACACTAAAAATGAAATACAGAAAATTAGGACAGAATTTGAATGTAAATAAGAACATAATTAAGAAATTAAAAAATTTAATATATAAAAAGTGATCTACCTATGATTTATATTTTGCAAAATAGATTTAGTTCTAAAATCAATCTCAATCTATTTCGTGAATTCAAATTAAAGAACACATTTTTAATCTGAATTCCTTGAATAATCATTGAACACGTGTCATTGATTTGAAACGGTTCTTCTCAATTCAATCTTGAAAGTCTTAATTATGTGAACAAACATTTTGAAATTGTATAAGTAATGAATTCGACACTGTGAATTATTCGAAATCGTATTAATGCAATCTAAGACTGGATTAAAAGTATTTGTGACAAAATTTAGAAGATAAGAAAGAAAGTTTCAAATTGGATCAAAATATAAAATATTACTTCATCGCTTTGCAAAATCAAATTTGTAGTTGATTTATGAAATTATTTCTCCATCATAATTGTAAACAAAAACACATGTTTAAGAGCAATTACCTTGAGAAAGCTTAAACAAATTTGTAAGAAGAAATAAAAAAGAAATTAAATTATCTCCAAATAAAAAATAACAAAAATGTAAAAAGAAAGAAAGTCAAATAGAGAGTTTCCAAGTCCTCCAACATCCTTCCCTGATATAGAGCTTAACCCTAAACTAAGCCTAAGCTAAAAAGTTCAAAAAGTAAAATGGGTCATTAAGTCTAATTAGACCTAAATCCTAATAACAAACTACTAATACACACTTAATTGTCATAATCGCATTTGGAGGCCAAATTTAAATGTCTATGATTTTCAGTTTATAACTCAAAATCCAACGAACAAGGTGTCAAATTGAAGCTATTTGAGCTAGATTTCCATCGTAACAAGAATCACTAAAAAAACTCTACTTATATCAAAAGTTATGACCATGTGAGTAGAGGTCAAAAGTACTAAAATTCAAGAATTAGGTAAAATTACTAATTAAGGCCCAAATAGACCTAAACAAATAAAACTAACCTAAAACAATGAAATAATAATAGGAATAGTGTCAAGAGGTAGTGTTAAGGATATTAAAGTATCAAGATAATATGATTCATCAAATAACTTCACACTTAGAACCTTTGTACTCCTAAGCAAAGCAAAAAATAAAAAACAAAAGACTTAACATAAGATATAACTAATGGGAAAACCAAAATAATAAACTTATCAATGAATGGAGGGTGAACTAAGCAATAGATATGATGCAACACCTACATAATCAAAGAATGAAGAAAATCATGGATCTCACTCTTACATCTCAAGCAACCAAAATAAACATTAAATCAAGTAATGAATCAAAAGTGATAAAACCTCACAAAATATGTTCTCTAATTCTCAAGTGTCTAAGTTTGTGTATACTCTAAAAAATCACTCAAATAAGTTAGCACTATTATAAGCTTGACAAGTTCCTAATTTTTATTATTGAACACACATGCATGCAAAAATCAAAATGAATTTATCAAGGTTGTAACGAGGCTAGCGTGATAGGGTGGATAACATGATGGGGTATGGCTAAGCTTAGGGATGAAAAAAAATAATAGAGAACAATAGCCAATAAAATCAATTTTGTTTGGTGGTCATAGTTGGAAGATTAAGTGCTTAGGTTAAATAAATAAAAAAAGGAATAAAAAAAGAAAATTAATTTTGTTGGCTTTCGCGAACTGAGCATTTACTCTAGTCTAAGGAGGAAATCTTTCACTAAGAAAATTCTTTGTTTTTTTTTTGTTGTGTCGTTCAATACTCAACAATAAAATCGTTCATTCTCTTTATTTCTTAGTTGTTTTTCTCATCTGGCTTTGTAAACTCATTCGGTTCTTGGCTTCATAATGGTAGTTGCTAAATATGTAAGAAATATGGATGAGAAATCATTCTAAACCGTTTCTACTTAATGAAGGGCTTTATAGAAAATGTTTGACTTGTGATACTAAATTGAATGGTTTTTAGATTATTTTATTCTGTGTTACCATGAAGGGAATTTGGTAGGGCCTATTGGTTGTGATTGGGGTTTGGTCTTAGCTATTAAGCAGTCATCAGTATGTTTAAAAGGGTTTGGTCTTTCTAGTAATTTTGCTTCGAGAGTTAAGCTGAAATTGTCTTATATTATTCTCGTTCTCTATACTTAGTTGCACTTAATCAAGAAAACTAGATTGTTTGAGTATTATGGATGACTTTCTCTTGTTGATATATGGCGAGGTTGTGTTTAGTAGATTCAATTAAAATACAGATTTGACTTCAATATTCAGTAGCGCCCAACCTCATTCGAAAACTTTCAGAGGCAGTTGTAAGATTGATAAAAACATAAAGAAACATGTCTTTAAGCCAATGAAGAGTAATCTCAGAAATATTTTTGCTGCTGTGCTTCTATTCTTTCAACTATGAACCCTTTCACTTTGTTGCTTATTCATTTATTTTTTTCCTTTTTTTAAGTCCCATACAATTTTATTTTTATTTTTCTTCAATCTTCGATAATTATTCCACCCTACTGTTTCACTAAATAATATGTCTATTATATATTTCAAATTTTCATTTCTCTAATGTATTTTGAGTTTTTGCATTTTACATTTTATCATACACAAAATATATTTTTTGCCATTAGACTGATGGATAATCACTTAGAAATATTTTTATTAGAAAATTAGACTAATTTAGACTCGAATGTTAAATCGTTAAGAGGACTGTGGGACATCTTAACGCAGTGGGGTAAGACATCTAAACACACCTTTTCATATTAGTAATGGACATTTGCATATGGTCCAACAGTTCACACTGGATGAATTTTAATCTTTTAATAGAAAACTGTGCTTAACTTTCCAAAAGCAAATTTACAGAAGCAGCATTCTAACCACATTTTAAGCTGGTGTAAGAAATTTTAACAGGTTGTTCCTTCCTACTTGCCTTTTCTTATTACTTAATATAATTTCCTTTTCTTTTGGTAGGAATTGATGAAATGCCATGTTAACTGTTAATATTTCATTCTTTTTTGCAATTAGAATGTTGATTTCCATGTGAGGTTAAAAATGGATATCTGTTGTTTACAAGCGTAGGACATAATTCTTTTTCTACATTTTGAAGTCGAGTATTGATTTGGGTAAACATTGAAATAAAATCTCTCTCTCCTCATTTCCAACAATTTTGTCATTTAAAAAAAACTATAGCACCCCTTTTGTGACATTGGAAATCACCAACAGTTATCTTGTTATATTTGTGATGTGTAGGAAAACAAAAGAGAAAGGTCGTAGCAGCACAGTGCAGTGAACTACCTTTGGATGTGCTTCATATCATAACCAAGAAGCTGGATTTCGATGACCTCTTTCAATTTGCTGGAGTGTGCAAGAGCTGGACAACAGTTCATAGAAATTATTGGAGGAATTTCATGGCATCCCAAGAACCTTTACTCATTCAAAGATCTTCATTTGCCAAGAGAGTTATGAATTTCTATAGCATATCTGAAGAAAGAGCTTATAGCACAAAGCTTGATAACTTTTGGGAATTATCCTATTCTGGGTTTTCAAATGGATACATAATCATGGCAAGTGTGAAAGATGAACTTCTGCTAATGAATCCTTTTACAAGAAGAAAGAAGCAAATCAGTATGTTAGGCATTGCAGGTAATTTGAAATATCTGTCTTGCTATCCCTTGGTTGCTTTTGCAAAAGGTTCAGAGGATTTGATCATAGCGGTTATAATAAAACGTTATAGAAGTCTGCATGTTTATCATACTCGAACTCGTTCTTGGGTTACCTATTTGAAACAGGGAAACCCATGGTTGATGTTGGACTTCGTGGTTTTGAATAATGCTATATATGTCCTCACTAAGAAGGCTGAGATAGGGGTATTGAACCTAAATTCTGGTAGTTTGGAGATTCTAGAACTGAAGAACACTCCTATTTTAGTTACCCATCAACCAAAGCTGGTTAGTTGTGATGACCAACTTTTAGTGGTTGAGTTTGACCCAGAGAAAACATTGCGTGTGTACAAGGTGGACTTATCAAAGAAGGAATATGTCAAGTTGGAAAACTTGGGTGACATTGCATTATTTTATGGTTTGAACAAAAGGTGCTATGCGTTGAGCAACCCGGGTAGGTTTGGTTATGAGAACAACTGTGTGTACTGCATTCATGGTTACTTTGCAGAATGTGAAGTGTATTCATGGAATAATGAACTGAAAAAATGGATTGTACCTCGTGGAATTAAGCCTCCTCCTAAATCAAACCTCTATTGGGCAGATTGGTGTTTTCGACATCAACGTTATGAGGTAGATTGTTCTGTGGGTCAGTAACTTGCTTACTTCATATCATGCAGCTCATGACCATGTGTTCAATCCTTGTTCCTTGTATTTCTGTATTGTTTCCTTATAATTTGACTAGACTGAAGAACTTATCATGTCATTTAGTTTCAATAACTTTGCTCGGATGTTATGTTTGGCTTTGTATCGTTATTAACTTGGTCATTGAATGGTTTATATTTTATATATTCTTAGAGATGTTTAATTAGGCTTGAAAAGGCCACATAATGGTGTTTTATAAATTTCATTCAGATGACTTAATTTGATAGTAAGTTTTAGTTGAAATATCTGTGTTGAAATCATTTGAGAATTTCATTGCAGACGTAACAGTGTACTTGTTGATGTATATGTATCTGTCGTTAATAACATTTAACTATAATCAAATTCTTCTATCTTTATTTTTCCTTGGGGTTAGAAGAATTTTTTTTTTCACAGTAATGAAAATTTAAGAATTATTTACCAAAATAACATTAAATCAGACGCTATGAATATTTTGTGAAAACTAATTCTTGAATAAGGACATTTTTAGAAGTATTCTTGAACATGAAAATTTTTAAAGCCTAATTATGTTTCATGTAAAGTAATTTTTCTGACATTATATATTTATATTTTTAATTTAATATTAATTGAAAATTTGAATTTTTATAATTTATTTAATATAATAGAATATTTACTTTTTAAAAATGATCAAATTTATTAAATTTACAAATGGTCATACAATATATTTAAATTATTTATCTAATAATTTTGAGTTTAATTTAATGATAGTTGTGTATTTCAAAAAATAATTTTTGTCAACTTTGTATAATTTGCGAGTTTTAATTCTTGAACGAAAGTGTTTTTAGGATATTTCTTAAAAAGAAGTGTTTTTAGGGATGAATTCTATTTTCAACATGCCAAGTTTTTTTTTATTTCAATAATAATTTAAAATTTGTGCTTTTCATAATTTATTTTAATTTTATTTAATATAATAGAATATTTAGTAAGTATTTTACTTTTTAAAATTTTTTTGGCTACTAATTACTTTTTGAAAATTTAAACTTTAGTTTTCCTCTAACTTTAACTAAAATTTGAATTTGAATTTAAATTTAAAATTTAATTTCCCTCTCATATTAATTGAAATATAAATTTAAAATTTTCATTTTTCTCTTAGTTTGACTAAAATTTAAATTTAAATTTTTTTAAAGTTCAACTTTGGTTAAAAGAAAAAAATTATAATTTTAAATTTAAACGTCAGTTAATATAAAAAGATTTAAATTCAAAATTCAGTTTCAAATTTTGATTAAGAAAAGAAAGTAAATTTTAAATTTTAGTCAAAATAAATAAAAAATTTAAATTTTTACCCAAGTAACTTGCATCAATAGCGGATAAAAATTAAAATACATATTTTTAATTATTAATTAAAATTTATTAAAAATTGTAAAAATATAAGAAAAAAATAAATTTGAAATAATAAAAAATAATATTTATAAATTTTTAATAAATTTTAATTAGTAATTAAAAGTGTACTACTTATTCACCTTTAGGATAGACTAAACTCTTGATATATATTTTAACAATAATACTCTTATATTTTTATCATGCATGTACTTATATTTTTACTCTTTCAACTAAATTCTGTATCGTTTGAATTGTGAGAATTAATATATATATATATATATATATTTATAATTTTGTTTTTAAAATATTTTTAAAATTTTTAACTCTCCTATTTAATAAAAAAATATAAATTATATATAAGCACAAAGTTACATAAATATTTAAATCTTTATATGTGATGAGATAAATGAGAAATATAAATATAAATACTTACAATAAATGTCTTTAAAATCTATTAATAGTGTTTATTTTACATTTAATATTATTATTACTTTAAAAATGTAAAAATATTTTTATTTATTTTTTATTTTAAGAATTATCTTTTGAATAGTTTTTGTCTGAGTGAAATTATCATATAGTATATATGTTTAAAAATACATTAAAAATTAATTAACGAAAAATTAAAAATTAAAATATTAAAATAAAACGTGAATCCATAAAGTAATTTCTTTCAACTTGTCCCAAACGAAACTTGCGTTTTATTCCTTCCCCATCGTGTCAGGAAGCCCCAACAACACTCTCACCGCAGTAACGCCTTCTTTCTCTGAGTCCGCTTCTCCAATCGCCGTCGCCGTCTTCGTCTTCGACTTCTTCATTTCTGGTAATTTTTTCGTGTTTCATATTTGTCCGCTGTACCTTACAACGTATTTTCTCTAAAATGTCCTGAATTTTATTTATTTATTTATTTATTTTCTGATTTTTGTTACCCTATCTATTTCACTGTCCTTGTGGTTTCTGTTCGATTCTGAATGTCATTTCTTATGTCCCTTGCCAATTGTGTTTATTTTAGGTTGAAAGTTTAAAACTTCCCCCTTTTATTTTCTTCTAATTAAAACTACGATTCAGTACTTGAAATTATAATTTTCACTGTTTCTGGATCTCTGAAGTGTTGAATAGTCGAATTATTGAACACGGATGATAATTTATTAATGAGCAAACTCTGAAATTTGTCCTAGGCAAGAATGCAAAATCCCTATGCTGATTCCTGAGAAACTTCAAGTGTCAATCATATTAGTCTTTCTCCGAGACTAATATGTTTGATGCCTAAAGACTACATTAGTCTTTAGATTGTAAGAGTTGATCATTTTAGTGGCGAAGGACTATTATGATTAGACATTTGTGGACGAAACCCTCATTCTAGTCCTTTAGATTGTAAGAGACGTATGAGTCCTTACTCCATAACTTTACAAAATCCTTTTATAATTCTCTAGTTTTGTAAAATGAAATTTATTTTAGTAATTTCTCACTGCTATTTTGAACCAAGAAAGACTTAAGTGAATGACGTTTTTGTAAAGTTGAGTCTAAGATGAAGATTCTATAAAGTCACGATTTAAGTGACTAACGCTACAATTTTACGGGCTAAAGTGCAGCATTACTTGATATTTGTGGTTACTTCTAAACTGGAGTCGACTTATTCCATTTTGAAGGACTAAGATTTCTACCCGAAATTTCATTGGACAAATTTGGAGAATTACACTTTTATTAATATAGGAACCACTTGTATGTTCTTTTTGCTTTGGATCCCTGATTGAATTTCAGTGCTTCATCCATGTTAAATTTTTAATTGATTTTAGGCTGTATTGATGCTATATCCATTGTCTCAGCTTCTGACTTTCTTTATGCTGTGAATTGTGATAGTTTGCTCAGCTTCCATTAAAACTTACACCCGAGATTGTAGTCTGATTTCACGGATGTTAGATTTGTGGTCACTGTTCCTTTATTTGCTGTCTAGAATGTAAAATCGTTTTGAGTGATTTCTGTAATGGCTAATAACTGTACCTTTTCAGATTGCTGACATTTTCAAAGTTAGTAGTTCCACATTACTGACATATTTCCTGGGAGGTTTCTTTTGTCTCATTTTTCTTGGCATGAATTTGTGTAATTCACGTGATTTTCAACGTCCAATGTCCTTACCTTTAACAGAAGAGATAAAGTCAGTAAACCACAACATTTGTTTGTGACTTTAGATTAAAAACAACTGTTTTCTTTTTGAGCTAGTGATTTGACAGATCGTCTCTGATATGAATGGTTGTGTTATTCTGTGAATGTTTAGTCGTGTCACACTGTCACTAGAACAATCCCTTATGATATATATTTAACTATAGTCATGTTGTTGTTATCTTATACTTTTAGCCTTGCTTTTAGTTTTCCTTAATTTTATCTGGAAGTTTGATATTCTTTAACCATAGATCAGTCCATTATTACTTCACCCAAGTTTCCCACTTTGTTTTACTCTAGTTTATTATTTTCTATTTAGTTTGCAATGCAAACTATGGATAGATAAGTGTTAACTAAATTAATTCACGGGAGGATTTCAAAAAATAACTCTTGACTTTAAAGTTTTCCGCGAAGGAAGAGCAATCACTCAAAGCCGTCATTTAATTAATTTCAAGACAATGTATTATATTCTACAGAAGTGCCTTTCTTTTATTTTTGTTTCTTTTACCTATGAAATACTTTATTTATTCTTTTCCTTTCCTTTGCTTTTAACTAAAAACTCAGATCATTATGTCTCGAAGATATGATAGCCGTACGACAATCTTCTCCCCTGAAGGACGACTTTACCAAGTGGAGTATGCAATGGAGGCCATTGGCAATGCTGGTACTGCAATAGGGATCTTGTCAAAAGATGGGGTAGTTCTGGTTGGTGAGAAAAAGGTCACATCCAAGCTGCTGCAAACCTCAACTTCAACTGAGAAAATGTACAAGATTGATGATCATGTAGCATGTGCTGTGGCCGGGATAATGTCAGATGCCAACATCCTAATCAATACTGCTAGGGTTCAGGCACAACGTTATGCATTTGCTTACCAAGAGCCAATGCCCGTTGAGCAGTTAGTTCAATCTCTTTGTGATACTAAGCAAGGTTACACACAGTTTGGTGGTCTTCGTCCATTTGGAGTCTCATTCCTGTTCGCTGGTTGGGACAAAAATTTTGGCTTTCAACTGTACACAAGTGACCCCAGTGGAAATTACGGTGGTTGGAAAGCTGCAGCTATTGGTGCCAACAACCAGGCAGCACAGTCAATTCTAAAACAGGACTACAAGGATGATATCACAAGGGAGGAGGCTGTTCAACTTGCACTGAAGGTACTGAGTAAAACTATGGACAGCACAAGTCTTACCTCTGAAAAGCTTGAACTTGCAGAGGTTTTTCTCTCACCCTCTGGAAAAGTCAAGTATCAAGTTTGCTCGCCCGAAAACTTGACTAAGCTGTTGGTGAAGTTTGGGGTTACCCAGCCGGCAACAGATACTGCTTAGCTTGTTCTTTCATGTCATATGCACCTTATTTATGCCTATACAATGCATTTGGAACGTTCTTCCTTTCAGAATAGACGCCCGAAAGCGTCCCAAATTTATTTCAAAGCTCAAACTTATAAACTTTTTATATCTTGGTAATGATGCTGCTTGCTTTGTAGTTTTTTATTTGATTTTCAGGACCTGGATTTTTGTTTGCATCCGTTTGTTGCTTTTGATTATTGCAGATTTTTCGTTTCTTGCCGGAAATTTGCATTAAAGGTGGTAGAATCAATGCATTAACTAGCTTGTCCAGAAATTTTTCGAGTTGAGTGAATTAATCATGTTTTGGCTCTCTAAACGAAGACGTACATATATTATTTTTAAAATTTACAAATGATGGCTTAATTTTGTTTTGGAGATTGGTTTTAGTTTATTAATTTATTTTCTTGTATAGATTTTTTAGTTTGATATCGATTTATTTTATTTCAGCGATTCTATCACAATGATTTGTTGATAATCCAATAAAGAAGTAACATTTAAAATAGTTCGATGATTGTAATCGAAATCAAGTTTTTTTAAGCAACATGATAGCGAATGGTGAGAAGACAAAACTTAAAATGTGTATTAATATATTGAAACACTCGTTTTAAAATTTTCTTTTCTTTTTCCTGTCTTTATGTGTTTACCTGATTTAATTTGACCAGATACTGATGTTTGTCCAAAAGTAACGTCGGGGTAATATTTCAACTGTTTTTCGCATAAGCATTTCCTATAATTCTATTTATTCATTATTTTAGAGGAAAAAAATTATTTTTATTTTGATAAATTTAGTTATATGGTCTTCTAACTATATTTTTTGGTTTTAAATTTGTCTTTTGATTTTTATTTTATTCCTTTCATGGTAACATTATTAATCTTGTCAATGAAACTATAGTTTTACAATAGGTTGTCTTAAGTTGATTTTATTTTAATGTATAGGCAACAAAATTTTAGAATAAACATCTTTATGGTAGTATAAAGCTTAAAAGAAATTTGTTCAAACATTGTTAAAATAGATAACTATAGGGTTAAAGTATTGAGGGAAGTTTACACGTACTTATTAAGGAGAGTATTTACCACTTCATTGAATGAGTCACCACAGTTAAGTTAGGTTACCACATCCACCTATAACTTCAAAGTAATAATTGATGAAACATCACCATTTATATATGGTTACATTCTTTAGTATTAGATAACATGATACCTCTTGTACTTAATTTATACTAAACTCAACATTGGCCCTCAATTATAAGTCTCCAATGTTCGTCCTCAAATACAATTTTTTTTTATTTTTTTTTCTTACTTTATTCACCCCTCCTTCTAATGGAAGTCTTTCTTTTAACACCATAATTGTTTAGTGACACAAGCATTAGACAATGTGAACATCTTTTACTTGACTCAAAAATAGCTCATGATTGAAGGGTGTGAAAGAATAACTTGATTTAATATCTAATTTTAGTCAATAAAATTTTACAAAAATCTCATATGGTGGTTAAAACTAAGTGTGCTTCTCAATCAATTTCAATAATCATTGAAAAAAAAGAGAGGCACTCATAATTAGAATTTAATGAAAATGATAACTAATTTTATGCTTTAAGATCAATTTAATACATAAAATAACCTAATTTTTTTATATATTGGTCATAATATAGTATTTAAAGCAACCTTTCAATTAATTCCAACAATCATTAAAAATAAATTTTTTGGCAAGATTTCGACTAGATTTAACGGTATTATAGTGAAAAGAATAACGTGAAAAGAAAATGTTTAAGTGCCAAATCACTAATTTTACCTTTTATTTATTTGTCACTTTAAAATGAAAATTTAAGATAACAATTATTAATATTTTACCAATTATACCTTTATTAACAAAAGAGAGCAAAATGATGTATTAAATGTTTGAATAATAAATTGAGATGAAGACATTAAAAAATAAAATAATTTTCTGTGAGAATTTTAACAATAATTTTTATTATGTATTTTTGGCAACATGAAGGACAATTTTGGGGATGCTACATACCGTAGGGTTTGCTGGGAATTTGTTGTGAACTTGCGATGGGTTGTGAATTCACTTACTTATTTGACTAGATGTTAGTTTAATTGTATGTTAATCTATTACTTTATTAGTATAATATTTATTATTAAATAATATATTAAAATAAATAATATATACATTTAATTATTTTTGGTTTAGTACCTTCACCCGTTTAAATGACTGGTCAAATTTTAATTATTTTTTTCAATTTTAAATGGGCGAGGATGTATCATGGTCGAACCAACAAGACGAAATTGAAATCTTCTATGCATCTTAGGGTGCGGTTGAAAAGTTCATAAAACCACATTAAACTTAACATATGTTTGGATGGCATCGAAAATTCTTAAAATCACGCTATTATCCATTGTAGATTTGTCATGTAATCATATATTGGTTGCTTGTGCAGTGTTGTTGTCCTTCTTACTTGAAAATCACATCATGCTCGGCATTTCTAAAGGACTATTTTCGCTCTTTTATAAAATTGTACCTTCACCAAATAAGAATACGTAGTCAAAGATTAATTTCTTTTACTCTATACATTCATCATAATCTGAATACGAGTAGTCAATCACTTTCAGGTTACTAGATCTCTTATAATTAAGTATATAATTTTTGGTTACTTGTAAATACTTAAAGACTTTCTTTACAACTTTTCAGTGGTCTATTCTAAGATTATTTTGATATTGGCTCAATATTCCAACAACAAAACTGATATCAAGCTAAATATACATTAAACTCTCGACCATGCATAGGCAATATATTCCGTTACTTTCCATTTCAACTCACTTTTAGAACATTGTATTTTACTAAACTTGCCTCCTTTTTAAATTGGAACCACCCCTGATGAGCACTTTTTTATTTTGAATTTCTTTAAAACTTTGTTAATATAATCTTTCTGAGACAATCACAGTAGTCCTTGTGATCTATTACGAAATATTTATATTTCAATCATATAGGAGGTCTCACCCATATCTTTTATTTCAAAGTTCTTAAAAAGAAATTCATCTACATTATGCAATAACTCAACATCATTAGTAACAAGAAGAATGTCATAAACATGTTGGACTAAATCTCTCTAAGACTTTGTTAATATAACCTTTCTGAGACAATCTTAGTAATTTTTGTGATCTATGACGAAATATTTCTATTCCAATCATATAGGAGGTCTCACTCATATCTTTCATCTCAAAGTTCTTAGAAAGAAATTCCTTTACATTATGTAACAACTCAACATCATTAGTAGCAAGAAGAATGTCATCAACATATTAGACTAAAATGATGAACTTGCTCCCACTGACCTTCATGTAGATACACTGATCAATCGTGTTCTATACAAAGCCATATGATGTGATCGTATCATTGAACATAAGATATCATTGTCTGAAAGTCTGTTTCAACTCATATATTGATTTCTTTAACTTACACACCAAAGTTTCTTTATTTGTGGTCAAGAAGCCATCTGACTGATTCATATAAACTTTCTCTTCTAAGTCATCATTCAGAGAAGCGGTCTTTACATCCATTTAGTGAAGCACTAAGTCATAATGAGTCACCAAAGCCATAAGAATTGTTGCGTTCCATGGCTTGCTTAAATGAGACTGGATCTTCATCAATACTCAAGTCATATTCATACTTAAGTGAGTAAACTACATAATCATTTGAAATAGTAGGTTTTTTCTACCTTGCAGACCTCCTTAATGTTATCTCTTGTGGTTCACTTTCCTTTAGCTCGTTCGTGACTTGTGCATTGTTAGCTGGTTCATCCTCTATATGCTATTCTTGTAGGTTTGGAACATTAACTTGTTGTTTCCTTATGTTGTGTGACTATGATACAATAAGAGAGACAACAACTTGAAAAGAGACACCAACTACAGGAGTTTCCGTATGTGTCTCTTTAATTTTCACATTTCGTGTTTCATCACTCCCACTGACCATTTTCAATGAACTTTGCATTTTCAGACTTAATTATTCTCATATTATGGTTAGGACAGTAGAAGTTGTACCTTTTTAATTTCTCAAGATAACCAATGAAATAACCACTAATAGTTCTAACATCAAACTTCTTTTTATGTGGATTATACACTCTTATTTTTGCTGGACAACCCCAGACATAAAGATGTCTTAAACTGGGTTTCTTTCCTATCCACAGTTCATAAGGAGTCTTTGAAACTGTCTTACTAGGAACTCTGTTAGGCATATACATAGCGATCTTTAATGCGTACATCTACAAAGACATAGGTACAAAACTATAACTCAACATACTCCTAACCATTTTCATGATAGTATAGTTCTGCCTTTCAGCCACACCATTTTGTTGTGGTATACTTGACATAGTATGTTGTCTACATATACCTCAACTCTCTAGAAGTTTCGCAAATGGACCTGGACATTGTCCACTTTCATTAGATTTTTCATAATATTCATCACTCATATCTGACCTCACAACCTTTATCTTTTTATCTAGTTGTCTTTTCACCTCATCAATGAACATCTTTAAGACATCCACTGATTAAGACTTTTCATGCAACACATACAAATAGCAATAACATGAGTAGCCATCAATAAAGGTAATGAAATAGCTTTCATTATCCCAAGACGGGATGTCAAACGGACTACATATATTATTGTGTATTAACTCTAAAAGTTGACTGTTTCTTGTGACTAGATTATTTGATGTGTGTTTGGTTTGTTTTTCTTTAATATAATTTATATATACATCCTAGTTAACAAAATTCAATTGAGATAAAATTTCATTTTCCATTAAACTCATCATTCTTTCTTTGGGTATGTGACCTAACCTTTGACGCCACAAGAAAGCAGAACATTCATTACGCACATTCAAATTACTACTAACAATGTTCTCAACGTGAAACAAAGATTCAGCAAATTTAATATTAGGATTAAAACGATATAAACCATCAATTAATGTACCAGAACCAAAATAGTACGAATATTTATATAAAGAAAAAACATTGTTTCCAATCTTAAAATTAAAATCAAATTCGTCTAACTTTGCAATAAAAACTAAATTTTTAGCACATTCAAGAATATAAAAACATTTTTCTAGATCTATGCAACAACTAATTGTGAATACCTAATTTTATCCGAGTCCTTTTCAAAAATAAATTCAAAATTAAAAATTAATTATAATAATTCAATTTTGTTGGAGGTTAATAAAATAGA